GATATGTTACCGCGGCGTATGGTTCTCAGGCAATCAAGTTAGTGTTCATGTTTGAATGCACTTGTGCACCTCTCGAGCTCAAATCCTTCTTGCAATTGGCCTACGACCAGCTGAGAATCAAAATGCACTTGCACCTCTCGAGCTCCTCCTACCAATATCAAAGTATAGAAATTATGTGTAACGGTCAGAAACGGTTACACGACTCATACACATTACATTAAATTTAAATAATCCATCGTCAAGATAGATACGCCAAGAGAAGTTCTAAACTTGTTAAGAATAAACTGCTTAATATCAAACACTAGCATAAATCCATGCTTTACAAGAAGAGATCCTGAGAACAAGTTTTTGCAGGTGTCCGGACATGCAGAACATCCTTAAGCTTCAACTTCTTTCTAGAACTTAATTTCAGCATCACGGTGCCAGCTCCAGCCTCATAATACGAGGAAGAGTTGACTATGTGGAGTTTCCAACCAGCAAAAGAAGTGTAGTAAGAAAACAACTCCTTGTCGGGACAGACATGGCGAGTGGCACAAGTATTAATGTAGCTCTCCCTTGGGTTATCCACAATGTTGTCTTCAAACACCACAACTGCCATGTCAAGTCGGCCAGTTCACTCGGTACAGGGTCATGTTCAGCAACGAGGGCACACGATTGCACCCTCTTTGGCCCAGCCTTATTTGGCTTCTTGCAGTTCTTTGTCATGTGGTTGTGCTTTCCACAGTTGTGGAAGTTGACGGTAAACTTCCAAACCTTGGAGGACTACTTTCTTTTGTTAAGAGACTTTCTCTTGATCGAGTTGCCTTGCTCTAGCAAGTTAGCATGAACCTCCATCATTGGAGCTTTCTCCGAAGACTTACGGTTGTCATTCTCAATGTGAAAATGAACCATGAAGTCTTTAAGACTCATTGCTTTCCACTTATGTTTGAGGTATTTTTTTAAGTCTTTCCAACCTGGTGGCAACTTTTTGATCATAGTCTCAACTTGGAACGACGTGCTCAAAGTCGTTCCTTCAGCATGAATGTCGTGGGAGATGATTTGGAACTCTGGCACTTGAGATACGACGGTCTTCGAGTCGACCATATTGAATCAGGAAACTGACCGACGACGAATTTCTTCGCCCGACATCCTCAGTCATGTACTTCTTCTCCAAGGCAGGTCAAAGCTCATTGGCAGAACTAATCGTGCTGTACACATTGTACAACTCGTTACTCAATCCGTTCAGGACGTAATTCTGACAAATGTAATCACCTTGCCTTAAGCATCGTACGCAACGCATAGTTCAACATCGGTTTCATTTTTTGCCACAATCAGGGGGTTGTCCATCAGATAATTCACCAAACTCAAGGTGGTATGGTAGAAGAGCATCTTCTGCTGCCACCTCTGAAAGTCAAGCCCATTGAATTTCTCGGGCTTTTCGACAGTTGTGACATGGACAACAGGTACGGGATGATGAATAACAGTGTTGATTGGCTATTGTTTCTGTTGAGGTTGCTGGGTGTGGGAAGTTTCTCCGGTAGATTTCATCAGTCCAGTAGGTTCAACATTCGCCTTTCGATTGTTAAAAAAAATGTGTGTTCAGATTACACGGGTATCCTATGAACTGAAGTATAAGGTTCAGTTCTTATAAGTTGAACTAAAAACAAAAAACAGAATTACATACAGAAAGCGGAAAGATAATAGTTGAGGCGAGTGTTGCTCTTTCTACAAGATGAATACGCCTCGTAATGTGTGACGGGTTCAGACGTCTCGTCCACAGAGATACAACGGCTGACGTCTCGAAGGATGTAGCACAACAGATTTTCAAGCTCCGACAAACTTGAACGGAGTCGAGAACTTAGCACTATGTGTTCCGATACATGAGGCTTTTGTGGAGAGTTAGAATGCATATGATATTGTGAGTGTCTCTGCGGCTCCAGACATGTTTATATATAGGACTCCCAACCAGTAGGGATGACTAATTGTATTCAACCACTTAAGGCATGAACAATCAAGTAATGGTTGTTGTAAGTGGCCAAATAAAATTGCAGCAAAAAAATATATATAGTGGTTGGGCCTAAAGCCCAAGTTCAATACCGGTCCAGACCCTCCAATTGCCAAAGACCAAGACCCAAGTCCTAGGCATGTGCTCGTGCCCACGCCCGAGCCAAGCAAAGATGAGCCGAGTCAAGCAAGCGGGCGCGCATGCTCGTGCCCGTGCCCGTGCCCGTGCCCGAGCCCAAGTTAAGATGACCCAAGTCCCAGGCATGTGCTTGGTGCATAGATTTGTTGTTGTTATGACCTCTCCAACTCTTTGTATTCTAATAATGAGAGTTAGTTTTATTGAGAGTCCAATGTGGGAAATGATTCTTGACCCTTCAAATCCCACAACCACCATTTTACGTGTCCATTAATGACTAACTTTTATTATTTATTTCTCACTCACCGAAAACCAATTTTGACAAAATAAATACCACGAGTATCTAGTCGGCACATAGAATTTTTTTACACAATTTAATTCAACCGAATTGAACTTAAGCCGTAAAAAAATCAGTCAAAATCTGGTCAAATCCAAGTATTTATAACTGCTTTTCCAACAGTAATAAATATAATTTTATTTTAACTCATTAATTAATTTTAATAGAAATAAATGTTGAATATAACATCTATACTTATATTAAAGGTCATACAATTTACTTAAATTAGTATGTAGAAAAGTCAAAGCAATTAATGCTTATCTATTTTTATCATTTGAATATTATATTTTATATTTATTTATTTCAAATCTAATCATTACTTAAT